TAAGACCCTGCAAATGTGTGTAAATGAGGCAGAAAGTCAGATCAGCAACCTGGGACTTGGTCACCATTTTTGTGATGTCATATGGCAGCAGGGTCTACCATTAGACAACACATTATGCTATATGGTTGCCATCCTACAGTAACTTATAACTGATGTAAAAAGAATAAAGTAAAAAAAAAAATTAAAGTATGTCTCCACTGGCATCATTACAGTATTACCCCGCCTAACGCGGTTTCACTTAACGCGTTTTATCATATACGCGGTGCCTCGCCAGAGCTGAACTTTCACTTAACACGGATTTTTTCCACATATACGCGGTGAGTGTCCGGCTCGAGACGCTATTTTTAGATTTGCCCCACCCGCCACCCTGCCTGACTGCCTGTTTTAGCTCATAAAATTCATACAAATTACCCGGCCAGAATATAATTTACATTGCTGGAATTCTTATAATTTGGTGATCATTTTGAATATAAACATCATATTTTTGCATTAGACATACAAATTTTAGATAAAAATTTTTCTCAGAGTAACTATGTTATCTTTTGTGCAAAATATATGACATTTATATTCAAAATATTCCTGGTCTTACAAGGAATCCAGCAATGTCAATTATATTATCCTAACTTTAGTTTGAGGTATTATTTATTAAAATTTAGTGGTTATCCCACACATCTCCTTGGGACGGTTGGTGGGGGGTGGGGGGGAGGGAGGGACCGACCGACCATCTGTTACCCCGTGAAGAATTATTTTTTTTTTTATTAACTGAAGATATTTGTTTTAGCTCATAAAATTCATACAAATTACCCGGTCTGAATATAATTTACATTGCTGGAATTCTTATAATTTGATGATCATTTTGAATATAAACATCATATATTTTGCATTAGACATACAAATTTTAGATACAAATTTTTCTCAAATTAACTATGTTATCTTTTGTGCAAAATATATGACATTTATATTCAAAATATTCCTGGTCTTACAAGGAATCCAGCAATGTCAATAATATTATCCTAACTTTAATCTGAGGTATTATTTAATACTAAATGTTAAAAACTCTGGAAGGGAGGATTGGTGGGGGGTGGGGGGGGAGGGTTGGGACTGACCGCTCGGTTGGAAGAGGGGGGGAGGCAAGGTGGGGTACTTTGATTGACAGATAGTGTCCTGAAGATTATTTTTTTTTTATTAACTGAAGATATTTGTTTTAGCTCATAAAATTCATACAAATTACCCGGTCAGAATATAATTTACATTGCTGGAATTCTTATAATTTGGTGATCATTTTGAATATAAACATCATATATTTTGCATTAAACATACAAATTTTAGATAAAAAATTTTTCTAGGTAACTATGTTATCTTTTGTGCAAAATATATGACATTTATATTCAAAATATTCCTGGTCTTACAAGGAATCCAGCAATGTCAATTGTATTATCCTAACTTTAGTTTGAGGTATTATTTATTAAAATTTAGTGGTTTTCCCCCAAAAATTTCTCAGAGAGGGAAGAGCCGGCAGTGTAGTGTGAGAGGGGGAGTGAGTTGAGTCCATTATTTGAATGGACATTAACTTAGCGACTGTATTTCTCTATTTCTCTTAAGTATTAATTGTGTGCATGTACCATCATAAAATTAAGATGTTATTTTTACTACAACATAGGTATGTGCCTTCAAAAAGTGAAGTTTGGGGGTCGGGCCGGTTTCTATTGGAATTAATCCCATATGTTCTGTTGTTCACTTAACGCGGATTTCACTTAACGCGGGACCCTCTGGGTTCAATTGACCGCGTTAAGTGGGGTACAACTGTATATATTTTTGGTAGCTATATTGTGTATATTTTTTTTCAAATTTTTTCCCACAACATACAAAAACAACCAATGGTGGTGTTGTCTTACTTATGACCCTCTGCCTACTCAACAAGTATTTGTTTCCAGTCATACAAAACCAAACACACTGACTATTTTTACTACCTTGGGAGCCTCCCCTGTCCCTCATGACACATCTAGCTATCCTGTTCCTTATGAATTAGTTTCAGTCGAGCTGCTCATACTGTATGAACTGCCTGTATCTTACTGCAATTCATGGGTAGTGTCCTGAGACAAGGAAATCCTGAACTTTTAAGGCTCTAACTTATTAGGAAATTTGGGTCAAGGTTCTGCTGCTGGCACAATGCAATACAGTACAGAACAGTACTCACATCAGAATAAAGTAATACAGATTGGGTATAATAGGACATCAGAAGTGTGAGTGATGCTCTTGTGTATCCTATGTTTACTAGTCCAAAGCTCAATGAGTAGTGGACATGACTTGCATCAGCTCAGGTGCCCAAATGCTTCACATTATTCATAACTTAAAATGTAACAATGTGCCTCACAGATCGGCTGCAGCTAAATCATAAAATTAACATAACATTACATTGACGTTCAACCATAACTAGATAAAGGTACAGGCACCCAAAACCCATTCTCAGACACATACAACCACACACACACACACAGTTGAATGTTTGTCTATTTAGAAGTTACGAGCGCCCTAAAAGTGAGTTAAATGTGCTCCTTCTAGTGAGTCAAGACATTTGCCAAAAGTAGATACACCAGGTCCGTTATTAACCAACTTGTCATCCGTAAATTCAAGTACTTGCAAGGTATGTCTAAAGATGTATGAAATGCTTCAATTCCTTCATTCTATCTCCATTCAAGCTACCATTTATGGTATAGCTTTCTGTCTCCCATTTCAACCTCTATTTATCCTTTATCTTCGTTCACATTCATTCACAATTTTCTCCTAGTACAGTGCACTCTTCCTAATTCTTTCTCGAACTTTTAAATATGTTCTTCCTAATTATCCATAAGAGCAGGGTTATCTACAAACAATAATTGACTCAGCTATTTGAATTCCATTATTTACAATTTGTACCTTTCTCCATCACTGTTGCTTTCACTTTGCTTTCTGTCCTATCTATGTAATCAATCCTTAAACAATCATGGTAACATTATAAGTCTGTAAATTTTACAGGTCACCAGTTTCTTTTCCTCCAACAGTAAACTCAAACAAAGGCTTTGCACTCCTTGTCAAAAACCCTTAAGCACCTTTGACACATTTCATGCTATATTTACCCCTAGCATTCTCAATAGTTTTCACATCACTTTTCTATTTACTTTTATTGTGTTGTGTCTCTAAATCCATAAAAAAAAAATAATAATAATTTTCTACAAAGACTTCTCTTTCATGATCTTTTATGCAAATATTTGATCCACACACACACTTGTCCTTTTTTAAATTCACTCTTCTCCTCCTCCTCGACACTTATTATTTTTGGTACAATTCTCTCATCATAGCTTAACCATAAAATTTCTCTAGTATCTGTACACCAAATGGACTTATTACTCAAAATTTTTTTATTCATTCTATAACCCTACATTTAATACAGGAAAATTGTACATACTCTGCTGTTCTTCTGGTAACATTCTCTGTTATATGTAGCCTGTATATTCTTTTCATCCATACTATTATTATTCCACCTTGCATCTTTAACATTTCAACAATGACTCCATCCACTCCTAGTCCCTTACCATTTTTGAGTTTCTGTACAACCGGTTTCACCTCCTCCTCCATTACTATTTTTCTTCTTTTGTTCTGACCTTAATACTAATCCCTCTACGAGGTCCAAAACAGATTAACCATGCCTCTAAGTCATCTCATCACATTTAGCAGCACGGCAGTTCAATACTTTCTCCTTATTTCCCTCTCAGTAAGTTTTTGTAAGATATTAATTCTAGTAAGCTCTTTTTTTCACATTACCCGTAACTGTATATTGCAATTCTTTGTAGCAAGTAACACAAATTAATAACAGTATTAAATCATATCATCCAACCAACAGGCTCTATAAATATTTTATCAATATATTCTGAATACTCCCAGCAGCTAAACCATATCAGAACATATTCCCCACCTGTCCATACATGGGGGGTGTGTGTGTGTGTGTGTGCTATATCGTGATGTCACAGCTGAGCTGTTTCTAGACTTTTCTGTTCCCAAAATGACCTGACCTAAGAAATCCAGGGATTGTGTTAAAGTCTCAGTAACATTACAGTTGATCCCTCCTATTTCTATTGGTATATTCTCACAATGATCTGACTTGAAAATCTGTATTAAAGCTCCTACTGATAACTGTGTAAGCATAATTGTGCTATAAATTGAAGTGAAAATATCAACGTGAAAAAGATGCGGAGAAAATTAAGCAGGTTCATCGAACACCACTGGATGGAGACGGGTGAGGGTAAAAGGTAGTTAGATGGGTGCAAGTGATATGTGAGTTTATTTAACTTTTCCCATTAAAAACAAGACAAACAAATTTCTTTAAAAAATTGTCAGGGCAAGTAAAAAAAATATCGGACAAGCAAATTTCAATTGCTCAGGACAATTAAATGTTACACATAATCTGCTCAGCATGGTTTAAACCTTAAATGGTTGCCAAACCATATGTATGGATTCTTTTCAAGGTTACCTGAGAAACAGACCAGCTAATTCTCATATATTCTAAAATACATTAGGGTTTTAATACTATAATTTTCTTGAATATTCGCCATACAAGATACAATAAAAAAAGCAGATGGGTTTTAAATGGATGTAAATAGCATTAGTTTTTAAGGATTGCTAAATTATTATTTTTTTTTACCAGAAACTCCAACTTGCAGGTCTTTAAGTCATACTATTAATGGAACTTTATAATCAAAATAAAGTTAGTTAGATAGGGTAAATTCTCCATTTCAGTAAGCTTATTGTTAGGAAGATTTCAGAAAAAAAAAAATGTTATATTGATTATTACAATGTAACTCAAGCATACAAACGCCAGCAAAAGCACAAGTGACCCTGCATTTTACAGTCGCTCTTTCAAACGAGACAGTATCACTGGTAAAGGGATGTACAACATGTGTGGGTAGCAATAGCGTGCCCTCCTCATCTACCATGCCTACGCAGCGATGCCACACCAGTAATACCTTCTGGTTCTGTTGAGCACGCTGCTGGCTGATTTCCGTGAGCCCCTTCTGAAGGGAGCTCAGTTCACTTTGAAGATCTAGCAAGTCAGCAATAGCCCCCCCGGCCCCACTTGTCAGACTGGCACTCACTATTCCACTGTCCCCATTGCTGCCGAACAACCCGCCAAATGAAGGGTCCTGGGGAAGAAAAGCCAAGTTTTTTGTTAAGTACTTACTGATGATTCCTCTCTGATTTTTCAAGAAGGAAGGTTTAAGAATATATATATATATATATATATATATATATATATATATATATATATATATATATATATATATATATATATATATATATATATATATATATATATATATATATATATATACACACACACACACACACACACAGGGTGATTCAGCAAAGAGTAATTAGTGTGGAGGATGAAATCCTTGGATAATTCTAAATCACAATGTCTCTCTGGTAAAATGTCAGATTCTGCAGTTTCCATGTTACAATACATTTAAGATGTTGTATTAATGAGACATAAGGCGGCTTGGTGCAAACTGACTTGGTGTTTTTTCTCCTTAGCATCCAGAAACACTGCATTCCTAAATTGAATTTATCATAATTTGGAACATGTTAGGGGTTAAAAAAAATCTAGTACTGTACTGTACAGGTATCCCTCACCCATCAAAGGTTCATTCAGCATAGATTCCTTATTATGAAGTTACTAAATGCATATTTATTACAATAAACTTAGTTGTGATAAAATTTTATGGTTGAAAATTATATACAGTATTACCCCGCTTTACACGGTTTCACTTTCCGCGATTTCTCATTTACGCGTACCTTGCCAGAACCAGACTTTCACTTTCCGCGGTGCATCTACTCATAAGCGGTGAAGCATAATTTTTTTATTTTTTTTCAATTAGCTCATAAAATTCATACAAATTACCCGGCCAGAATATAATTTACATTGCTGGAATTCTTACAATATGATGATCATTTTGAATATAAACATCATGGATTTTGAATTAGACATACAAATTTTAGATCTTTTGTAATAATTTGGTTTACACAAAGCAAATAATTTATCCTTTGTGCAGAATATATGAAGTTTACATTCAAAATATTCCCTGACCTGCAAGGAATCCAGAAATGTCAATTATATTATCCTAACTTTAGTCTGAGTTATTATTTATTACTAAAAATGTAAATATACTATTTTCTCCCAATCACTTCTCTGGTAGGGAGGGAGGGAGGGAGGGAGGGAGGGACCAACCCAGCTAGGGCGGAGTATTTTGATTGACAGATAGTGTCCTTGAAGAATATTTCTTTGTTTATTTACTGAAGATATATGTTTTAGCTCATAAAATTCATACAAATTACCCGGCCAGAATATAATTTACGTTGCTGAAATTCTTACAATTTGATGATCATTTTGAATATAAACATCATGGATTTTGCATTAGACATACAAATTTTAGATCTAAAGTAATAATTTGGTTTACACAAAGCAAATATTTTACCTTTTGTGCAAAATATATGAAGTTTACATTCAAAATATTCCCTGACCTGCAAGGAATCCAGAAATGTCAATTATATTATCCTAACTTTAGTCTGAGGTATTATTTATTACTAAAAGTTAAAATCTAGTTTTTTCACCCAACATTTCTCTGGTAGGGAGGGAAGGTGGGGGGTGGGGTGGGAGGGTTGGGACGGACCGACCCAGCTGGTGTGAGTGTGAGGAGGGGGGGAGGCAAGGTGGGGTACTTTCATTGACAGATAGTGTTGTGAAGAATATTTTTATTTTTTTTATTAACTGAAGATATTTGTTTTAGCTCATAAAATTCATACAAATTACTCGACCAGAATATAATTTACATTGCTGGAATTCTTACAATATGATGATCATTTTGAATATAAACATCATGGATTTTGCATTAGACATACAAATTTTAGATCTAAAGTAATAATTTGGTTTACACAAAGCAAATATTTTATCTTTTGTGCAAAATATATGAAGTTTACATTCAAAATATTCCCTGACCTGCAAGGAATCCAGAAATGTCAATTATATTATCCTAACTTTGGTCTGAGGTATTATTTATTACTAAACGTTAAAATCTAGAGTTTTCACCCAAACATTAATCAGAGAGATAGGAGCTAGTGAGCTGGGAAGATGGGGGTGGGGGGGGATTTGAGTCTATTATTTGAATGGACATTAACCTGGCGACTGTATTTCTCTTAAATATTAATTGTGTGAGCATACCATCATAAAATTTAGATGTTATTTTTACTACAACATAGGTATTGTGTCGGAAAAAGTGGAGTTTGGGGGTCGGGCCAATCTCTATTGGAATTAATCCCATATGTTCTGTTGTTCACTTTACGCGGTTTTCACTTTCCGCGGTACCCTGTGGGTTCAATTGACCGCGTAAATCGGGGTACTACTGTAGCCTGGGAGTTTAGGGTGAAGCATATATCACATAATGTAGTTTCATCTAACTTCGTGCACTCACACCCCTCTAATTTAGACTTTGTGTTAATTTGGAAATTTTTGGCAATGTCCAAGTACAGTATAGTAGTGAGCTGATGAATCCTTTGACACTGAGACCTAAATGTCCTAATACCAAAGATTTTAAATCACCTGACAAGTTGCAAATTGTGATCTTGTGCAGAAGAACACTACCTTATGCTTGTGAGAGTCAAGCAAGGTGAATTAATCTTCATTTTATACAGAAATACTGTACAGTATTATTTTTTTTTTTTTGCACAACTCCCCACGTACCACTCATCTTTTATGTGGAAAAATGTACTATTCTCTTACAGCCAATAAAATTTTATCTTTCACAAATGCAGTAATAAGGTAGTCAAATTGCGTGTCAGTCACTTTTTTGTACTATCCTAATGACTCGCTTCTGTTGCTGAAAATCCGCAATCATAACCAAAGAGCAAAATAAGCAGACCAAATTTGGACACTTCAGACTCTTTGGGTAATATGACATGGGAAGAACCCTACAGCTCTCTAATTAAAGGGGTTCAAATGTACTTTTGGGGAATGCTTCTACGGTATTGTATTTTGTAAAGCAAGTTACAACTGTATAGAAACTCAAATAATTTACAATACAGAACTGGAAATAAATTTCTGAAAAGTAACTGGCTATGTCTGAAAAGTGATGACCATTCTGAAATTAAATTCAGTAATTCATAATCTGTATAGCTGTCATATGGTGGAAATACAGTAACCATCAACACATTGTAATGCATGAGTATTTTGTCATATTAGCAACATATTCACTATGATTTAATATAACTACTGTATGGTTAGATATAAATTTAAGAGTCAGTGCCCTCATTCTTAGATGAGTACAGTACTTATACAGTACAGGTGTTTGTATGTGTGTGTGGCTCATACTTCCACCTATGGTAAAGTAGTTTGAAATCCACTCAGTATTATGCTCACACTTGTCTTCAAATGCTCCTTTTAATTGTGTAATATATGAGATTTATTTATTTCCAGTGATGTATTTTGTGTTTTACAATGAATTACTTGTTGTTGTTGTGAAAATAAACAACAGAATTTTCAATGTGTGTTAATCATTTGTTGGAGTGATACATTATTTATTTTTAATTTGTATTAATTGATTCAAAAAGAAATTTGCATAGAATTAGTCCATTTCATGCAAATACACATTTTAGTTACAATAAATTGTGTCAACATTGCAATATTTAAGAATGGAGTGTCTAGTTCTGACTCATCCACATCTCTGGTATAGGAAGGGGATTACATAAATCCTGAGCAGATAACCTACTCCCATGGCCAAATATTATAAGTGATGGAATTATTTGGGCAATTTCCATATTCAACAACTACGATACAGGTTGTCTATATTCTGATGAAAATACAGAAATCTAAAATAGATACTGTATCACACACACACAAAGGGAAACAAGAGCATTCATGCACCAACAATACACTACTGATATCACAATGCACTGGACTGCCTAACTCCATAGATCTAGTTACTTATTAGGGCTAACACCTTTCTTTTTTGTTTATTCAAAACAGGACTTCAATATTGTTATTTACTTATGATCTACTCTAAATCCTCAAGTAAAATGTATTGCTACAAGATTCATTTAATATATTTATCAAGAGCAATGAACGTGTTTTGCTTTTCATGTGCTAAAAAATGAAGTATGCTGTTAATAATATAAAATGTACTGTGCAGTATTAATAATCTTACCTTGACCTCAACCATGATTTATATATATATATATATATATATATATATATATATATATATATATATATATATATATATATATATATATATATATATATATATATATATATATATATATATATATATATATATATATATACACCTATATACAGTCGACCCTCGTTAATTCGGACCCTTTTAATCCGGATTTCGGATAAATCGGACGAAATCTGAACTGTCCATATCAAATTTCTGGTTCTGGGATTGTCCCAGTTGCAATTGGGGTTGCAATTTCAAATTCTGTGTCACTACTAGGAAATAACAAAGTCTCTGGTGCACTCTAAGATTAAGAGAAAATGGACGACTCAGGCGTCCTGAAGTGAGAGAAAACGGACTCCTATGACGGGGCACTCAAATAAAGAGACATGGCTACATGTTTTGTGGACTAGCCACTGTACAGTATCCTTTTCATCACTTTGTAATAAACCTCGTTATGCCTATGTGTTTCTGATAATTATCATAACATTATATATTTATATATTTAGCGGTTGTACAAACACAAGGCCTCACACATGCCATTCAGACTGACAGACTTGACAAGTTTTACCAACCATAAAGACAGTTGAAGCTTTAAACATCACTCACAATGGATCTTGAATATTCCAACTGTAATCAGACATACCTAAGTTGCCTCAACAAATGCAACCCCAGTTGCAATATCAAATTCTGTGTCACTACTAAGAAATAACAAAGTGTCTGGTGTACTCTAAGATTAAGAGAAAACGGACGACTCAGGAGTGCTGATGTGAGAGAAAACAGACTCTTATGACGGGGCACTCAAATAACCATACACATAGCTGTATAATGCAATATTAACCCCTAAATGGACAATCGGCTAAAAAGGACACCCTTCCCCCCCATTAGTCAGTTTTAACGAGGGTCGACTGAATATATATATATATATATAT